TCTTTGTTCCTCTCACTGCCTGGGGGGCCAGCCTCCAGTAACACAGGCCTCAAAGGGAAATCCGCAGAGTCCAGCATACTAGACTTTTTGTTTTCTATTTAAGAAATTTTTAAAATTCATTTTATATACCAACCACAGATTCCCCTCTCATCCCTCCTCCCACTCCCCACACCCAGACCCACTCCCATCCCCTCCTCCAAAAGGGTAAGGCCTCCCATGGGAGTCAGCAAAGCCTGGTACATTCAGAAGAGGCAGGTCCACGCCTCTCCTCCTGCATCTAGGCTGAGCAAGGCATCCCACCATCGGTAATGGGCTCCAGAAAGCCAGCTCATGCACCAAGGATAGATCCTCATCCCACTGCCAGGGGCCCCTCAAACAGACCAAGCTACACAACTGTCTCCTATGTGCAGAGGGCCTAGTCTGGTCTCATGCAGGCTCCACAGCTGTCAGTCTAAAGTTCATGAGTTCCTATGAGCTTGGTTCAGTTGTTTCTGTAGATTTTCCCATCATGATCTTGACACCCCTCCCCGCCCCGCTCATATAATCCCTCTTCCCTCTCTAATCCCAGCATTTAGGAGGCAGACACAGGCTGATCTCAGTGAGTTCCAGTCCAGCCTGTTCTACAAAGTGAGTTCCTGGACTGTTACACAGAGAAACCCTGTCTCGAAAAAAACAAAAACATATTAGACTTTTTTATCTGAAGGGGTTAGGGAAAAAGACACTCATATTCTCTCTTGATGGTTTCCTTCTTTATTCTATTTTCTTCTATGATATTTCTACTATATACTTTTTTCCTATAGCTTATCTACCCCAATAAAGTTTTTCAAGCAACATAGGAATTACTATGTGATTACATTCTATTTTCAAGTGAATGATTATAATGAATATAGGTAAAAACATGTTTTCCATCTCCCTTACATGATTATATATTTTCTGTATTACAGGTGAAAAACAAATTATCCCAAGAACCCACATACATTTATACTCAAGCAACTTGTTATAGATTAATCATATAGGCAAGCAAGATATTCTTCTGAGTCAGGTCTTTTACTGGCAGGCTGAATTTTGAAGTTATAAAGAAAGGGCCAATTGCTTTAGTACTTATCTTGAAAGATAATCTTATAAGGAATCACAAACCTAAACTTTTATATATAAAAAAGAATCAATCAGCTCTATTTTAAGCCTTTAGGGTGCATACCCAGTCATCAATACTTTCTTATATCAGAAGATTGAGGGCAGGAATGGACACAAGGAATTAATCATCACCTTTGGTCATCAACCAATCCTAGCAAGAAAGGCTTGTCAGCTAGTAATAATTGGACTCCTTTGTTCTTGTTCCCTGACCTTAAGGAGTTCTGCGTTCAACTATGTGCCTTTCTAACACTTTAGATTATCTTCTTGAGTTTTTCACCTCAAAGCTATTTGATGAAAACATCTTAGTCTAACTTTGTTATTTTCAAAGCCTTGTTTCTGCTATGCACGCAGAAACCAGTGAACACATCTCCTGACATTAAAATTAAAGGAATTTAAGTTGCTGGGCTACTGGGTCTCAATTGCTTTTCTAATCATTAACCTAAGTCACAGTCTATAGGGCTCCTCAGTAGAAACTCATGTGTTCTAGCTGTGTGACACTTCCTTGTACTTAATTTTATTCATCAAAACTCTGTATAAACTAACATTATTATTATTAGTTATACAGTACAGCTTAGGAAGGAATCATCTTCATAATAATCTACAGGTAAAAATGCCCAGTAGAACTGGATGTTTCTATGCATAAACACACTGCATTACAGGCAGTGGTATCTCCCCAGACCCATTCACACCATGCCAGATACCAGAGGAAGACGGCAGCAGCCAACATGTAAAGGTACAGCAGAAGCAAAAGACATTCTGGGGTCTGTGGTCTCGGGCCTTGCCCATCCGAGATTCACCCATCAGAGAGTTTCCTCCTGGTGGGCTGACACCTTGAACTTCAATTGCAACCTGCTGCTTGCTGTGGGATGGTCTGTATGTCAAATGTGTTGCTGATTGGTCAATGAATAAATCACTGATTGGCAGTGGCCAGGCAGGAAGTATAGGCGGGACTAACAGAGAGGAGAATTGAGAGAACAGGAAGCTGGGTGGGGGAGACACTGCCAGCCGCCATCAGGATAAGGAAGATGTAAAGTACCGGTAAGCCACAAGCCACGTGGCAAGATATAGATGAATAAAAATGGATTAATTTAAGCTGTAAGAACAGTTAGCAAGAAGCCTGCCACAGCCATACAGTTTGTAACCAATATAAGTCTCTGTGTTTACTTGGTCGGGTTTGAGCGGCTTGGGACTGGCAGGTGAGAGAGATTTGTCCTGACTGTGGGCCAGGCAGGAAAACTCTAACAACAGCTGCTCCTCTGATATGGCCACTGGCATGTTTCTTTGTGTATGGTGTGCATGTGCCATGCTGTGTGTGTGGAAGTCAGAGAACAATGTGTAGGAGTTGGTTCTCTCCAGTCTGTGGGTCCCAGGGATCAGGTTTTCAGGCTTGGCAGCAAGGGCCTCTACCTGCTGACCCAAGTCCACAGTCTTTGTTATTGTCTTAGTTACTTTTCTATCCTGTGATAAAACACCATCACCAAGACAATTTATAGAAGAAAGAGTTTATTCTGGCCTTACGGCTCCTCAGTCCATGAGGCTGAGCAGCAGCTGAGAGTTCACATCTTGAACCACAAACAAGCATCTAACTTGAAATGGCATGAGTCTTTTGAAACCTCAAAACCCACTCCCAGTGACATACTGTCTTCAACAAGGCCACACCTTCTAATGCTCCCCAAACAGCCACTAATACTTGGGGACCAAGTATTTCAATGCCTGAGACTTGTGAGGTTATGAGGGACACCTCATTGAAAACATCACATTAGGTATATAAAAGCTCCAAATTATTATTTTAAATTAATTTTCTTTCCCTATTTAGTATCACGTCTTGGTATCTGTACAAACTTTTTGGCTTTGTTTTTTGATACAAGTTTATCTATATCATTTTTATTGGTATTTGCTTGATATAATTTTTCCTTTCAGTCTTTTGACAATTTTATGTCTTAGCTTTGTCTATTAATATAAAACATGGTTGAGTCTTGTAACTGAGGAATTTGAATCATTTAATTTTAGGTTGGGTACAGAAAAATTTGCAATTTAGGTGTTATAAAACTCACAAATGTTCTCCTAACTCTGCTCCAACTACCATCTTGTAAATTTTGATCTGTTTCGCCTTTCATTCTGTTCCAAATAGTTAACAGAGAACTTTACATACAGAATATATAAAGGATTCTCACAATCCATTGGTAATAGAATGACAGAGTGAAAACATGGGGAAAAGATTTGAATACCAGATATAAGAATGGCTAAAAGTCACTTGAAAAGTGCTTGTTGGGAAAATGCAAATTAAAGCCATAGTAACGTCATTTCATACCCACTAAGATGGCCACGGAAAAAACAGGTTATAGCAAGAGCTGGCAAGGATGTGGAGAAATTGGAACCCTCATGTGTAATACCCTCCTACGATGTGAAATGGTCCAGTCACTTTGGAAAATGGCAACTTCTCTCTCTCTCTCTCTCTCTCTCTCTCTCTCTCTCTCTCTCTCCCTCCCTCCCTCCCTCCCTCCCTCTTTCCGTGAGTGTGTGTGTGTGTGTGTGAGAGAGAGAGAGAGGAGAGAGAGAGAGAGAGAGAGAGAGAGAGAGAGAGAGAGAGAATGTGTGTGTACATGCATGTATTAAATGGATAAATGATATTTGAAATGCTAGTATAGAGAAATAATATTCAGCAATAAAAAGAATGAACTTCAAAACATATTCCTTTAAATAAATAAATCCCCCCCAAACTATGTAGCCCAGGATTCCATTGATATGAAATGCTCACAAATGCAGCTATATAGAGGGAAAATTGATTCATGGTTTCCTAAGGTTTAGAGTAGGAATTCATTGCTAATAAACACAAAGGATATCTTTTAAAAGTTTTGTTTTTACATTTGTTTATTTAGGATGTGAGAGTCTGAGTTGGTATGAGTTCCAAGATTATAGGCTCATAAGGGATGTTTTAGTGTGGAGAAAATGTTGCAAAACTGAGTTGTAAGAGGGCAATTGGCCAGTATTTGAATTTACAAGTCTAGGAAAAAAAGTGTATTTATTAGCTGTGCTGCAAGTACTCAACAGACAATCGCAGCATCAACAGAAAGATCACCCACATGAAACAGTGGTGCATGGGAGTGGGATACATTGAAGTTGTCGTCTGTGGTTAGGGTGACCTACAGCAATCTCCACTATGCAATGAGGGACATCCTGATTGGTTGATATTTTATTCCCAGGGGCCTCTGGGTTCACATGGTGCAGCCTCTGGTCAGGATTTTGGTTTAGATTGGTTGCACTTGGTTACATCATTCTGCAGCCAGAAAGTGCTCTGTTTCCTTTTTGTGGCATTTTCTAGACCAGGCTTGTATTGTGGCATTTCCCGGATGGTAACCTGTTTGTTTTCTGGTCTGTCAGTTAGCCTCTCTCCACACTATGGTAAAGGTTTTACAACTGTAAATTTACTAAAATCATTCTGTTTATACTTCAAATGGCTGAGTTTCAAGTTATACAAATTATACCTGTAAAAAAATCTATGGAAACATCCCATCCTCCCACACCAGTGAACTTAAACAGTTCTGAGTTTATTGAGAGTATTTTCTACATTCTGTGCCTGGCTGACCAGTATCACATCTGACACTTGTTAGTGGACACCAAAGATTAAATGTGCTTCACCACCCTCATGACGGACGCGATGTGTTCATTGTCAGGACTGGTTCTGAAAGGAAAGGTCCAAGTCCAGGGCTGCAGGCCTTCCTGGCTGCCTTCCAGGGAGAGAGGCTGGAATGAGCTTTGTCCTGGGGTGATGGTCCCTGTCACTGATTAACCAGCCCTGTTGGAAGGCTGCACCACCAGCACTCCCCACACAAAGACACCTGGCCGAGTCCTGGGCGGCAGAAAAAATGTCCACCCGCTATCACCAAGCAGCGAGTGACAACTACCTGGAACTTCTGAAGGAGGCCACCAAGCGTGATCTGAATCTCTCGGATGACGATGGCATGACACCCACTCTCCTGGCAGCCTACCACGGCAACCTGGAGGCCCTGGAGATAATCTGCAGCAGAGGGTGAGTGATTTTTGTCAGGGCAGCCTGGGGTCCTCCAAAGCAGCAGCAAGAGGCGGGGGAGTCTGAGTAGACATTTTGCCTCTTTCTAGGCTCTCTAAGTAGTTGACTTTTAGAGAAAGACAAGACTAAGCTGGGTATGGTTTCTTTCCCTATAAGAACAGCCACCTGGGGGTTACTCAGCCAGAGGGGTGGGTGGGTATTGTAATTGTATGCATTGAAAATCATTTCCATGGATTTAAACGGTTGACTCTTTAAAAAGAGGTCACCATTCCACTCAGTTCAGTCATCCTCCTTGGTTAGGACATGTTTTTATTTGACTTTTTCAATTGTGTCATTAAAATCCACCCTTTTTTTTTTTTTTTTTTTTTTTTTGGTTTTTCGAGACAGGGTTTCTCTGTGTAGCTTTGCGCCTGTCCTGGAACTCACTTGGTAGCCCAGGCTGGCCTCGAACTCACAGAGATCCTCCTGGCTCTGCCTCCTGAGTGCTGGGATTAAAGGCGTGCGCCACCACCGCCCGGCAAAATCCACCTTTTATGAGCCCTCAGTTTTGGTGTAAGTCCCTGATTCTTGAATGAAATTTCTGGCTTTACAAGCTGTAAGAGGGATCTCCAGTCCATCTTTACTTTTTTTTTGTTTTGTTTTTTATTTTATTTTATAATTTAATTTAATTTTACATATCAGCCATGGATTCCCTTGTTCTCCCCCCCTCCCGCCCCCCCTTTCCCCTAACCCCCTCCCCCATTCCCATCTCCTCCAGGGCAAAGACTCCCCTGGGGATTGAGTTCAACCTGGTAGATTCAGTCCAGGCAGGTCCTGTCCCCTCCTCCCAGGCTGAGCTAAGTGTCCCTGTATAAGCCCCAGGTTCCAAACAGCCAGCTCATGCACTGAGGACAGGTCCTGGTCCCCTGCCTGGATGCCTCCCAAACAGTTCAAGCTAGTCAACTGTCTCACTTATCCAGAGGGCCTGATCCAGTTGGGGGCTCCTCAGCTATTGGTTCATAGTTCATGTGTTCTCATTCGTTTGGCTATTTGTCCCTGTGCTTTTTCCAATCTTGGTCTCAACAATTCTCGCTCATACAAACCCTCCTCTTTCTCACCAACTGGACTCCTGGAGCTCCACTTGGGGCCTGGCCGTAGATTCAATGCAATCCCCATCAAAATACCATCTTTACTTTAAATTTTATTTCTGGGCAACACACACACACACACACACACACACACACACACACACACACACACACAGACACACAGGGGGGTCAGCTGGGAGAGGGAGAGAGAGAGAAACACAGATAGATACATGGGGGTGTCAGGGGAGAGACAGACAGACAGACACACACACAGATGGAAGAGGGGAAGATGAGAGAAACAGACACACACAGAGGGAGGAGGGGGAGAGGGAGAGAGAGAGAAATAGACAGACAGACAAACAGACACACCCCACCCCTAAATTTTAATTCAAGTCTTTGCTAACTCTTCTATTCTGCTTGTCCTGCCCATCATCAGAGGGCTAGTCAGGGTTGGCAGCTCTGCCTTGAGAAAGGGAGAGACGGAGCAAGAGAGAAATCTGAGGGAGGGAGTGAGGAAGAGCAAGAGGAAGAGGAGGGGAGGAGTAAGGGAGCCAAGTGAATGCATTCCATGCAGTTAGCGTCTGGTAGGTGACAGTCCTCCCTCCCTCCCCCCTCTCCCCCCTCTTGCTCTTTCTTCCTCCTCCTCTGATTCTTCTTCCCCTTCATTTGTGGTGCTATCTGGAGGACGCTGATCAACAGAATGTCCTGGTTTCTGTCATGGCAATCAGATTTGAGAGGGAAAGACAAACAACTGGCTTATGGCAGACATAACAGAGCCTGTTTCAGAGATGGGAAGTGAAGCTTATGTTAGAAAGATAAGCAGATAACCAAGGACTGAAGGAAGCATCTTTCCTCTAAGACAGAGCACGGTGTGCTCCAAGGATGGAAGACGTTGAGTTTGGCTGGACGTGACTTGCACAGCAACAGGACAAGCCTAAGTGATAAAACCAGACAACAGGAGTCTTGAATTTCTGTTAAGGACTTGAACCTCATCCTGAGTGCCAGGAAACCGTACCCCGTATTTACAAAGGAAGTCTTCCGATAGATGTATGCTTATAAATATTGTTCCAGTGGTTACACAGTGGTTACAGAGAATGTTTAAGGACATTCAAGGTGAATTGAACTCACATGGTGACAATGGGTCTGGGTAGACACAGGGAGATTCCAGTGGCAGTTTGGATGCAGAATAGCTGGTGATTAGATGTGGGCAAATAAGGGAAAGAGGCTCAACATCCATGTTTTCATTAAACAGATTGTAGATATGGGCACCTCATTGAATTGAGGGACATGTCAGAAAAAGCATGCCCACTGTCTGCATTACATCTTCTGAAAACTTAAGTCAAGATAAATCTTTCCTCTTTTCAGTTAATGCTTCAGTTATTTGTTATAGCAATAAAATATCTAACACACTTCCTTAATTTAATTTATAGGGATACTTTAGTATTATAATCAGCAAATTTGCTTCCTAGGTTATCCCTATGTTGAATACACAATTTTTTCTAATTTTCAGTGTTGTGATGATTATTTTTCTACATAATCTTTGTCCAACTCTCAGAACTGAAGTTTTTTAATCAGTTGGCATGCATCTTAGCCTACTTCTGCTATGATAACAGAATGCCTCAGGCAAGGTGATTTCTAGAGAACTTATTCTCATAGTTCTAAGAGTAGTACAGAAGTCTAAAATCAAGTTGGCAAGAAGTTCAGTGCCTAGAGACCCAGTCTCTGCCCCCAAGATGGCTCCTTAGTGCTGCCGCCTTCAAGGGGAGAAAGGCGGAGTCCTCACACAGTAGAAGAGACTGAAGAAGGGGTACGCAAACCAAAAAAAAAAAAAAAAATGAAAAAGCAAATTCCCTCCCTTGATAAGGAATCCCTTCCACAAGGTGAAAGGTGGGGTTCCTAGTGAGTATGAAAAGTCCAGCACTGAACCGCCATTGCATTCCCACCTTCGTAAGCTCTGTATCTGTAACCCTGCCCCACTTTTATAATGGGGTCTTCAACATTGGTTTATAACATTGATTTTCAAAGGCGTGTGTGTGTAAAGGGTGAGTGATGGTGCCAGCATGCCACAGCGCACGTGAGGAGGTCAGAGCTTCCTGTGTCAGTCCTCACTTTTGTAGCTGGAGAATTTCTCTCCAGCTCCCACCAAGTTCCGCCAGTCCCGGAGCCCACTTATAAAATAAACACACAGACTCTTACATTATTTAAACTGCTTGGCCATTAGCTCAGGCCTATCATTGTTTAGCTCTTACTCTTATATTTAGTCCATTTCTATTAATCTATACTTTGCCACGTGGCTTGTGACTTATTGGTACCTTACATCTTCCTTGTCCTGGTGCGGCTCCAGCCAGTCTCTCCCTTCCCTTCCTGTTTCCTCAATTCTCCTCTCTGTTAGTCCCGCCTATACTTTCTGTCTGGCTACTGGCCAATCAGTGTTTTATTTATATAGAGTGATATCCACAGCACACTTTCCACTGTGTTTGAGAGTGGGTCTCTTGTTACTCACAGGCTAGCTGCCCGTGAGCCTCCAAGGACTCCTGTCCCTGCCTCCCATCTTGCCAGAGGAGCACTGGCATTAGATATGCCTCTGCATCTGGCTTTATGTGAGTTCTGGGGATCTGAACTTAGGGCTTTATGCTGGTGGAGCAAGCAATTTACCCACTGAACCATCTCCACGGCCTTCAAAATGCTTTTAAAGTTAACAATCTGAACCATTTGTCATATATATATATATATATATATATATATATATATATATATATATATAAAATTTGCTTACAATTAGTATTTTAACAATTGATACTTTATAAATAAAATATAAATGTACACATATATAATATGTTATATATACTTATGGGATACATGAATATGTGATACATATTTTATGTGCATGAATGTGTCAATCTCTGCTACATAATTCTAACTTGAAGGTCATTCATTCCAAAATATTAGCTGATAAATATGATCTTTCAAAATTTTCTTTTGTACACCTGCACAAGTGTATTGTTTTCTTTAAAAAGGCAATCATATAGTACATAATGATAAAATAACGATATATCGTTAACAATGTGCACTAAAATGTTGATATGCATACCACTGCTTTTCATGACTACATGATATTTTATTGTTTTTATCATTATTTATTTATTTTAAACTATCAAAAATTGCACAGCCACACATGATGATAGTGCATGCCTATATTCCCAGCACCTTGAGTCAAGAAGATTTGAGACTGATTCCAGCCCAGACTTCATAGCAAGTCCCTGTCTCCAAAATTGTGCATGTATTTATGATATACAATATGGTATTTTAAATACATTTGTATTATGCAATGATTGGATCATGCTAATTATATGATAACTTGCACACTTATCATTTTTGTGGTGAGGATATTTAAAATATATCTTCTTAACAATTTTCAAGTATGTAAAGCATTGTCTTTTTTATGTCATCACCACATTATAGAGTGAATTGCTTGAACTCTTCCTTCTTAATGGACATTGTGTATCTTTAAGTCTCTATCACCATACTTCTCTTCCTACCCCTAACTGCTGTCTACTCAAGAGACTTCTATAGGTCCCATATTTTTTAGATTCTACATTTAAGTGAAATTATGAGGTGTTTGTCTTTTTGTGCCTAGCTTATTTCACTGAACATAATGTCTTCCAGGCTCATCCATGTTTCCAAATGCAAGATTTTCTTTTTCTTTAAGGCAAAATAGTATTCCATATGTACATATATGCACACACATATACACTTTTTTCATTCATTTACTGGTGCAGGCAAATTGATTCTGTAATTTATTCAATTAGTTGCCCATTCATAACATTTTATTCCGCCTCAATTCAGTGCAGAGACTTAACTTTTTGTCTTGTTGGCTGTTGCAAGTAGAGTTGTAACAAAGCTCATTCAGCTTTGTCCAAGGCCTCACATTTCCTTGGGATAAAGTCTTCAAAGTAGAACGGTGGATTCTGGGGGTGCCCTGGTCTTTTGATGTATATCCTGCCAAGAAATCTGAGCCAGACAATGCTTTTCCCAGCATGGTCCTCTCCTTGTGATCCTGCTAAAACCAAACAACTGACAGTTTTCAATCGTTTCCTGTTGGATAGGCAAACACTGGCAGTGTATGGTTTTAATTGGCATTTCCTTCATTATTATAAGTCCAAATAATTCCTTTTTATGTAGAAAAAAACATTTTTGATGGAATTACTATTTTCTGAGAACAGCTTTACACATATTTAAAATCAACTTCAAAAGAAGAAATTGGAATGGAGCAGATGCCTAGAGTGTTGTAATTTAAGCAAATTACCCACTTAGCAACAATAACAAGCTGATTTAAAAATTATTGATCAAAATGATTGCTTACTAAAAAATCAAGGGCAAAATATAGCTTATTTTAAATTGCTTCTCAGAGAGTTTCTCTTTTGGGAAAAAATACCATCAGTAGATTGAATCTATCCTAAAGGATCCATAGGATATTAGCATTAGATTTAGTCCATCAAACAAAGGTGCTGGTTTTAGGTGGCTGGGCAGATATCTGCATGGTGCTGCTAAGAATTGTGAGCCAGAAAGCTGCGTTTAGTAAAATGCACTGGAGTCCCAGCTCTGGAAAGGCAGGGAAAGGAGCATCTTGGGGGCTTGCTGGTCACTCCAGTCTAGATGGTTGGTAAGCTCTGCTTTCAGTGAAAGACCCTGTTTCAAAAACAATAAAGATAGAGAAGCAATTGAGAAAGACAACCAGGTTAACTTCTGCCCTCTATGTGTACATGCTGGAGCACACACACACACACACACACACACACACACACACACACACACGCAAAGAGACGTGTGAGTCAGGCATGGTGGTGCATGCCTGTAATTCCAGAAAAATCAGGAAACTGCGGTAGGAGGATTCAGCCTTGAAAGTCAGCCTTAGTTACATAGAAAGACTCCTTACAAACAGATAGAGGCAGGGGAGAGTGTGATTAGATTTAGAAGGACTTCATGAAGCTTGACATTAATAAATTTTTATATCAATTGAAAAACCAATGGATCATCTTCCTGACAGTTTCATTTGGAATTTTACATTTGAAATTTTCTCTAAAGAAGATCCACCTCTGCCCATCTCAGGCTTCCTTGTATCTTAAAATCATCATGGAGTTGGGGAAATTCACTCCATTCTGCCTGAAGTTTATGGATTTAACCCAGACTCTTAGCACCCTGTTACTTCCCACTACAACCCACCCTGCCCAGTACTTCTTCTTTAGTTTAGCCAATCCAAGGATAATTCAGGCAAATTTAATCAGTGTGTTTTTGTTTATGCCATAGTGACATCTTGGCTCTTTTCCAGCTCTGCTTTGATGTCTAGGGTACTTAAGTGGTCCTTTGAATATGGTGTTTAGTTAAGTAAATAAAAAGTGAAACCACGTGTTTGGGGATGAGGAACTGTGCTCCCCAAAGATTCGAATGTGCCAATGCTGGAAGGGGGGTCTCCTTTGATCCAAAATAATTAAATTGGGCTAACTGGCTAGGGCCCTCTTCACAGAGGCTCCCTGACAGAACAGCATTATTTAACATTTGCTTTTCTTAGATTCAATTTCATTTTCTTTCCTTCCTGTTCCCATTCCTTTACCCATAACTCCATGCTGTCTGGTCACACTGATGGACACTCTGGGTTTCCCAAATATGCCACGTGATATCACCCATTCTCGTCTGTGCCCATGCTGTTCTCTGTGTGAAACAGGAGGCCGACCTGTGGCTGGATATAGCCCACAAACGGGCTTTACTTGGATTTCCCTGTGGTTTCCTTTTAAAATTGAGCCAACATTTAAATGAGTTCCACGGAAATCTGGAGTTCAGCCTTCATTTGAAAAGTGGACGTGGTAACACCATTTCTGCTTCCTTAGGGCATAGCCAGAGCTGCTCCCCTACTGCCGTTTCTAGGAGCGTGAGCATATCTCCCGGTCTTTGCTGAGAAACCCAGTTGTGTGTCCTCTTGGAGCAGATTTTGAGATTTCTGCTAGAAACTACAGATGATAAAAGGAGAAACATAATGTAGGCTTTTCCCTCTTGGGAAAATTAATTGGGTAAATGGAGCACAACTACTTGATAAATAAAACAACCCTGTAAATACTTAGCTACAAGAACTAGGCCAGCATGGTGGTTTGCACCTGTAGTCCTGGTACTGGGGAAGCTGCTGTGAGGGATCAGCACAAGTCTGAGCAAGGTTGGACTACATAGTGAGTTCCAGCCTGTCTGAGACACAGAGCAAGATGCTACCTCAAAAATAACAAACAAACAAATAAACAAATGACTGGGGAGATGGCTCTGTAGGGAATGGTGTTTGCTGCTGAGCCTGGTGACCTGAGATTGACCCCTGGGTCCCACATGGTGAAAGGAGAGAACTAACTACTGTAAGTTGCCCTCTGACCTCCATATGCATATTGTGGGACATTCATGCCCACACAAATACACACAGGAGACAAACGCATTTAATTTCTGAAAAAAATTAAAAATTAAAACCCCCCAAAGAGTGTTATAGTGGTAGAAATTGACCAAGTGGCCACGAGAAAAGATAAATATATGAGTGTGGAGAAGAGAGCAATGATGATAATGTATATTAAATGTATATATGCATGGTTTACCAAGCACTGTTCTGTGTTACGTATGTGTTTAAATTCAAACAAAAACTCTATCAGAGGCATTATTATTATTCTCAATAAACAGTTAGGATAGAAGACTTGTGGCTGGTTAAGTGGACAAGCTGGGTTATATTCACATAAGACTTTTATTATGACACAGATGGTTAACCATGAGACAGGCCTGATCCAAGGGATGCCACCTGTTGGGCTGGGGCTATAGCTCCACGGTACAACATGTGGCAGGCACATTTGAGGCCCTGGGCTCTACCTTTAGTGCTGCAAAAGTAAAAATGGAAGTGTGCTGCCTGTTACCATCATGCAAAACAACTGCACCCTCCAAGAGTCTTACTTTACTCCTGGGATGGTGATTGGTTCAGAACTGAGGCAACCAGGGGTTTACAGGGAGGAGATCCAAGTCTGAGTTATCAAATTATAGGATTCTGGTTGTGCCACATAGGGACATTTGTATTAACATACGTGTTAATATTTGTATTAACATAAGTGTTAAAACATATGCTAATACATAGGGAGCCTGTGAATCACCTGAAGATCTTGTCAAGCTCTAGTTTCTGATCCAATAAGTCTGGGTTGGGCTCCAAATTCTGCATTTCATTAACACCATGGGTAATCTGTTGCTGCTGCTGCCAGTGTGTTTGGGTCAAAACACTCCTCAGAGTAGAATCAGTATGGTACCTTAGCATCCTCTGCAAGGGTGTAGATCTTTTCTGCTTCTGTGTTAGCTTCCTACCAGCAGTGGTGAGAGCTTTTTCAATTCATCTCCCTGCTCTGCTTCAGTAGGGTCTGTACTTGTATCTCAAGGCCTCACAGGAAATAGAAGCTCTTTTTTTCTGATTGATTTTTGTTTTGTTTTCTGCTTTTGACTCCTGGGAGGGCTGATGTATTGGCTAGAATCAGCTCTCTCCAAGTCCTCCAAGAATACTGCTAAGTTGTCAGGACAATTGAAAGCCAATTAAACACAGAAATCATTGAAATGATATAAACTTACAATTGAACACATTGTATTAAAGTGTAGCACTTGAAACTCACCACTTCATAGTTAGTTCAGTATTTTTCTTGTGTGTGTGCTCTGAAGTTACAGATTTCTATAAATTTTTATGGTGGAAGTAAAATAGCATACTATTGCTTGTCTCTTCTAATCTTGATGTGGCAACATGAAGATTCTCATGGTGGGCAGACGTACACTATCATACATGCTATAAATCAGGGCTTTGATGTTTTTTCCATGAATGAGCCCATTGTCAAACATTCAAGAGTATACCATTGGGTGATATTATTCTTGGCTTCAGGGAAACTTCTAACTGAGCTCAATTAGAATTAGGCAAGGCACTCTATTTCCTTTCTCTGAGTCATGTGATCCAACTCTGGCCAATGTGATATAAAAGTGACTCTGCCAGGAAGTTTTTTTGGAAGGTTTTTTTTGTTGTTGTTGTTTTTTCCTTCTAAAAGGGAGGCCTAGCATGGAGATGGCTCTCTCTACTTCTGGCCATCTGGTATCTGGCTCTGACACAGCTAAACTCAGCAGCCATCATATGTCAATGTCAAGGCAGGATAAACATGCATTTTGTTGGTTGTTTTTGTTTTTCTTTATAGGCCTCATGTTCAGTGAAAAAGAAATTTAACATGCATCTTTCATATTTTCGTCTCTAGTGGGGATCCTGATAAGTGCGACATCTGGGGAAATACTCCTCTACATTATGCAGCCTCCAATGGCCACACCCACTGCATCTCATTTCTAGTCAACTTTGGTGCCAACATCTTTGCCCTAGATAATGACCTGAAGTCCCCATTGGACGCTGCTGCCAGCAGGGAGCAGAAGGAATGTGTTGCTCTCCTGGATAAGGCTGCTACCATACAGAACACCACGAACCCCAAGAGGGTCACCCGACTGAAGGAGCAGGCTCTGAGGAATGCCAGGAGGCAGATGAAAGAATGCGGGCGACTTCAGGAGAAGCACCAAAGCAAGATGGCCCGCACCTACAGTAAGGAGGACTCAGGGACTCTTTCTTCTTTCCATGGCACCTTCCCCAGCTCGTCGCTTTCCAAGGCTTCTGCTGGTGGATTCGGGTCACTGTCTAAAGGCATCAAAGATACCTTTAAGATAAAATTTAAGAAGAACAAAGATACCGCAGAGCAGGTGGAGAAGGAAGGCAGGAATGGGCAGAGGCATGTAATGGAAGTGTTCAGAGAGGAGGAGGAGGAAGATTCATTTCCAGAGGACATCAGAGAGAAGCTCCAGTTGTCAGCAGAGAAAGCCAGGGATGTACAACACGAGTCTATTCTCAACCGCCCAGGGCTAGGGAGCATTGTTTTTAGAAGGAACAGAGTACTGGACCTTGAGGACATCGCAGACAGCAGGAGGGAGTCGGGGTTTAAAATACCCAGTGAGTTGTTCCAAAGACCAGGAGCCGCTGATGAAGAGGAGGATGAAGAAGGGGAGGCAAACAGTATTGCAGGTGACCTTCCTTGGGATGAAGAAGTAGAATGGGAGGAGGACGTGGTGGACGCCACCCCGCTGGAAGTGTTCTTGCAGTCTCAGCAACTAGAGGAATTCCTTCCCATGTTCATGAGAGAGCAGATGGACCTAGAAGCCCTGCTGCTTTGCTCTGACGAGGACCTTCAGAATATCCACATGCAGCTGGGCCCCAGAAAGAAAGTCCTCAATGCCATAGACAAGAGGAAGCAGGCACTCCAGCAGCCTGGGCAGCTGGTGGACACCAGCCTCTGATGGAGGCCACTGGTGAGCAGGGTGACCTGAGCATGTGGTCATGCTGAGTTCCCTTGGGAGGACCACAGGAAGCACCCTGGACCTGATCTTTGTCCAGTAAAAGACCTCTGGGTATAGGTGTTAAGGTTTTAGAGAGGACCCTCAAAACAGAGGTCCAGACTCTGGGAGATAGTCTGTATTCAAGTAAACCATCAGTTAAAAAATAAAAGCCAGGAGACCTTGGAACAAGAAAACTGTGTTTCTCTTCACGAGTTTGCAGTCTGTCTAGACCAAAGGCTCTCACTGATCTAAAGTGCAAAGCCCAACTTAAGTGGATCTAATCTTTTAACAGCTATTTACAAGCAACAGGGTTGGGTTTATAGTATTCCTGTTTAAAAATAGGAGAGTACAGCAGGTGGGGGGATGGCAGAAAGAAAATGTGGGGTGCCTCTTGTGGAATGAATTTCTAACGTTTGTGTATGGAAGCCCTAACCTCTGAGTATTTTTGGAACTAGTACTTTAAAGAGGTGATTAAGGTTATGTGAGGTTATAAGGGTGGGCTCTTAATTCCATGTGACTTAAAAGAAAAGGAAGATAAATCAAGGGTGTGCTCACATAGGAAGGAAAGAGAACAGCAGGAAGGCAGCTGTCCATCAGCCAATGAGAGCACCCCACCCCCCACCTCCCGGGAAAATCAAACTTGACAATAGTTTGGACTTCCAGCCCTCTGAGATTCGAAAAATCAGTTTCTGTTGTTTGAACCACTCTGCCTGCAGGGTTTTGTTATGGCAGCCTGGGCTGACAAGTGTGGTGGGTCAACAAGAGGGTAGAAAAGGGAGAGAGAGCAAGAAGGATTCAGGAAAACAGTGCCTGTCCCATTTCACAGTCTTTCTAGGGGTTAAGCGCCTTCTGAGATTTAAAAAGGGAGAGAAGAAGTACAGTTTTCAGGAAGAGTGAAGACAAAAGTTAGTTTTACATCTCCATGCTTGCCATGCATGCCTTCACTGTTAGTGTGTATCAGTGGTGCTGTTCCTAGGTCAGTGCATGTTATAGTGTAGATCTTTGATGTAGCCCAAAGACTCAGATGCTAATGGCTTTGTCATCTGCCTGTGCAGCTACGGGGAAGAGGTAGACATCCATCCCCCAGGCAGGGCATAGTAGAAAGAAGTTAGGTTATTGAGACATGCCCTTCAAGTGGGTATTGAGATTTCAAATATTCCTTTCTTTTCTTTCCAACCACCGTAAGTGAACGGGTTTCCCCTGCCACATGCTTCTAATGGATCCCCTTGCCACAGGTCCAAGCAAAGCCTCGGAAGTGATAAATTAAAACAAACCATTCTTTCTTAATCATGAACAAATGTCTATTCCCCTAGGGATAGGGCACCAATGACAGACCAGAGAAACAGTTCTACCCTGAGCGATGATTCACATCCTGGGAGCATCCTGGGAGCTCCCTGCCTTAAGTTGCAGGCAGCTCCACCAAAAAGAACCGTTTCTCCCGAGCAACTGCTTTCACAACCTTGGGAGGGGTCTTGTGAATCTTACAATTTTCATAAGCTTCCTGAGCCTGGCAAATTCTCTATAACTTCTCGAGTCTTCTGAGACTCTCTCCTCCCTCCAACAGGTAATGTTTCAATTCAGAGGAAGCAGCTACATTGTGGTTATATAATCTCTATATATTACACAATGTATAAATATGTGTGTGTAATAGTTACACACACCTATATTCCATTTTACTCTATTGTTCCTCACTCTTCATTCTACACCTCTTTAAACTTCTCTTTTTTTTCTCTCTCTCTCTCACATACACACACATCTAGATTGTGCATATGAGAAGAAAATATGGGATACTAGTCTTTCTGAGTGAGGCTTATTTTGCTTAACAATCCTTGATTCCAGAAAAATATATTAATTCATTCTTTACAGTTGAATAAAATTCCATTGTGTAATGTGCTACATTTTCTTTTTCCATTCATCTATTGATGGACATCTCAGCTGCTCCCATTTCCTGGTTATTGTGAACAGTGCAGCAATAACTGTGGATGTGCAGGTCTGTGTGATATGTTGACTGGGACAGCTGGGTCACATGAGAGCTCTGTTTTCAGTTTTTGGAAATGCTGCCACCCTGATTTCCATAGTTCACTTTCCCACCAGCAATGTATATAGATCATCTCTCCAAAATCTTGCAATTTTTTTTTTGGTTTTTCGAGACAGGGTTTCTCTGTGTAGCTTTGTGCCTTTCCTGGGACTCACTTGGTAGTCCAGGCTGGCCTCGAACTCACAGAGATCCGCCTGGCTCTGCCTCCCGAGTGCTGGGATTAAAGGTGTGCACCACCACCGCCCGGCTAAAATCTTGCATTTTTTTAGTGCTGACAGTTGTTAAAAGGCAATCTCAAATTGAAACCACTCCTAACCCATAGCTAAGTTTTATTGAAATTCTGTAGCCAGACTACCACCAGGTAGAATTTACTATTGACTGTATGTGTAATATTAGAAAAGCTTTTTTTGGCCAGCTGATTTCCCATTCACATCTGAGTTATTTCAGGAGGCTCCATGCATGATACAGATGCTCAAAGGTGATGAACTCACTCATTCCTTCCGTGAGTGGATTCAGGAAGCATATGTGATATTGGATATGTTACATTAGGGGGTAGTTGTTTACAAATACTGTGTTTTGTTATGGACTAAAGCTGTGCTTGTCTTCAATAATGGGCACAACAGCAGTTGTCATAGGAAGGAATTCTGAGCCTGCCTCTATCTCATATCATCTTTGTAGATGCCTGGATCCCCTCTAGTTCCCTAGAAACCACCTGAGACACTGTCTCCATATTTTACCAAAGCTTACATAGTAAGGAGAGTTCATCAGTCAGATTGGGGGAATGAACCTAAATAGGAGACTCCTGATCCTTTTTTTTTTTTATCTATTGGCCATGAGACATATTCTCTTTATGGACCCACTGGCCTCTCAGTTATAAAGAACAAATGGATTGTTTTCACCATGGATTCACTAGGTTCAAGTGAATCACATGATGTTGTAGTTTCTGCTACCTTTGACCAAAGGAGCCTCCTTATCTATGTTTCTTTAAACATTTAAAATAGACACATAAAGCTATGTAACATGAGATTGGATGTATGTGACATTTCTTGAAGAGGCAAATCTGTAGTTGTATAAACCAGAGACTGGGAAGAAAGCAGGCAATGATTCTGTGAGAACCAGGTTTCTTCGGGGGGGATGGGATCATTCTGGACTTGGCTGTACAAACCTCACCCAAACCCATTGAATGATACACCTTAAAGTCATAAGCTACGCTAGGGACATAGTTTAGTGGAATTGTGTTTGCCTAGCATGTGTGAGTCTCTGGGTCTGATTCCCAGCATGGTAACACACACGCACACACACACACACACACACACACACACACATACACACATACACACACACGTTTTATGGTAAGTTCTACTCAATTAAAATGGAGAAAATATTATTCCACCTCCTCTAAGGATTGAGTGAGCATTTGACCCCTTCATTTCCTTTCGCAGGAAGTTATCAAAGGACACACTGAAGAAATGGAAATGCTTTATTTATTTCACAGACACACAAAGCTAGTGAGATGGAGAGTAGGCAATGATGACATCACCTTGTAACAGAAGAAATAGTTACCTGGGTTAGCTACCCAACTGCAAACACGAGTAGGGATGTCGGCACTCAAAGATGAAAACCACTGCAGTTCACGGGGACTAGGCTCCCTCATTGATCTGGACATCCATCATGAGACGGCCTTTGAGCTGTAACGGAGTTCAGTGCACAGCCCTTCCTCTCACTTGCCAGATGACCAGGAATCATACACTAGTTTGGCTGCCACCAAGTCTTCCACTGCCATCCCTGTAATGGACAGAAATTTGATTCACTTCTTCTTCCAGAACAACTTTGCCCCAAAGAACCCTGGCTGTCTTCTGATACCCCGTGTGGGGACACTGCTAAGCCCATAGGAATTATTATTCCAGAGGCGCACTCAGACTCAGTATACAAAGGACTGGTCAAGAAAAGAAATATGATACTAAGCAAGAAACACCCACATTTTATAACCTCCAAGGTCTAGTTCAGAGGTCAGCAACATTTCAGTAGAGGCTCAGTGAATAGTCTAATCTCTGTAAGTCATATGGTCTCTGTTACAATGGTTCAGTTCTGTCCTTATAGTGGGAAAGAACCCACAGGTCATAGGTAAGCAAATGAGTCTGTGTTTTGACAAGATTTTATTTATTGACACTACAACTTGAATCCCTCCCCCCCACACACACACACACTCCATCCCCTTCCCCTGTCTGTGTAGCTGATGGCTGTAGGTTGATGTTAGTTATCTTCCTCAACTAAATTGTTCTTCATCTTACCTGTTTTTCATCTTGTTCCGAGACAGGGTCTCTCACCAAGCTCACTGATTTGGCTAGACTAGCTGGCCAGTGAACCCCAGGGGGATCTTCCTGCTTCTGCCTCCACAACACCAGAATTACCAGCTCAACCATGTGCTGCCACATCTGGCGCTTTACATGGATAAACTCAGCCCATCCTGCTTGTGTGACAAGCATTTTCCTGACTAAGCCACCTCATCTTCCCCAATCTCTCCCATCGTTCTTATGTGTCTTGAAAGCTATCCTTTATTTACCTCATTCCAATCATTTAACAATGTAGACACTATTTGTAGCTCATGGTTCATACAACTACAGGGTTGGTCAAATCCTCTCTCCTTTTCCTTGTCTCCAATTCCTTCCCATCCCCCAACACTTTTCCCTCCAAACTTCCTGCATTTTTTTTTTTGAAAACTAAGCACCCTTAGTGCTATTTGTATGTGCATGGCAGCCTCTCAAGGGTCACGACCTTGACAAAAACTGACTCTTCAACACCCAGTCTGCCATCAGTTGCCAATAACTTCTAAGCTAGGGGTGAGACTTAATGAGCCCTATTCCCCATCCATGCTTTTGGTTGGCTTGATCTTGTACAGGTCTTGTGCAAGGGTAAAAGCATTGTGAGCTCATGTGTACAATAGTCCTGTCATGTCCAACAAATACTGTTTCACTGTAGTGGCTTCATTACTGGCCAACATTCATTCTCCCCTCCTCTTTCTGTGCATGCGTGTGTGTGTGTGTGTGTGTGTGTGTGTGTGTGTGTGTGTGTGTGTATGGTGTGTGTATGTGTGTGTTGAGATAGGGTCTCTTTATATAGTCCTGGATGTACCGGAACTTGCTATGTAGATCAGACTAGTCTTGAACTCACAGAGATCTGCCTGCCTCTGCCTCCCTAGTGCTGAGATTAAAGGTGTGTGCCACCATGCCCCGCCATCCAGAGTACTCTTAAAACTGTGGCAAACATTAAAGGTTTTGCTGCTCAGTATGAAGAAGTATGGAAGGTGAGGGGCCCTGGTAATATCCCTTTACTAACCACTTATAATTTACAAATTTTTAAGTGTAATGGCTGATTATCACTCCAGTTCCCACAGACATTGGTTTCTTTAAACATGGCAGAATGAGAGAGTTAATCCAAAGGGCAGACTTTCCACTGTGAGCCCATCCTTTGTTGAGTCCCCACCCATACTGGTCCATGCAGTTTGGAACTCCTCAGGATTAGCATCAGGTGGGAGGGGAGGGGGAAATGAAGGGTCTCAGGCTGGATACTTCCTGTTTCAATCTCCGTTGGGTCAGTTGCCTCTATCACTTCCTTCCAGCTGTTAACAGCTTTGTTCCCTGCTCTCTTCCTCTGAGGGATATTGACTTCTAAATCCATTTATGTCTAACCTGAGCGATTTAGTACAACACTGGCTGTGTGCAAATTTTTCCTTGTATAGCTCACTGATGTCACAAGAACTCAAGGTAACAGGTGGTGAATAAACTATGGCTCTGAGACATCTGATCACTTGCCTAAGGTCACATATCCAGTGCATGCTATAGAAGGAATCTAATCCAGGACTGCCCAACTCCAGAGTTCATAGGCTTACCTACTCCACCCAAACACATAAATGATTGATCCAAATGATGGACTCTGCGATGATTTCCCAACCATTCACCCACAAAGCCTGGTGACCCATTCATTTCTCCTTTCATCTGCCTGTGCTCTGGTTGTATTTGTGCCCAGGGAGCAATCTGTGGGTCTTACCCAAGGATTTGAACACCGTGGTCTTCTCACACTGTGCAGGCTTCACTCCTGATATCACTTCTCCAAGCTCAGCGAAGATGTCAGCCTGTGAAACAAATGCATGCTAACTAGGGCTGAAGCCACCATCCCAGGCCAGCACAGGACCTTCCTGAATAGGAGAGTATAAAAGCAATTTTTGAAAAGACCATCTGTGAACTGGATGGTGTTAGGAAGCATCTGCCCTCTGGTATCCTTTGGGGGTAGCACTTGTGTTTTTAACTCCATGGACACAGAGATCATTTTGTCTGGAGGCTGCCTGCCAAGTCCCTGTCTGTGAAGAAGTTGGTGTGCTAGTATCTGACCATGCACTTTGGCAGCCTCTTCTTGCTTCCATATCCCGATTATAAGTGGGCATAGGCAGCCAGGGGATACACAGTCTTACTGCACTGTCATATCAGAAAGGTTTCCAGGCTGCAACAGACTTCCCATCCCACCGCCTGATCGCACAGCAAACTGGAAAAAAAAATCAACTCTCCCTCCAAGCAGAAGGACAAGAAGACACATGTCATAGCCATATGGCTATGTTTTTCTAGAATGGGATTAAAAAGTGCTGCAAGATGTTTAGGAATGTCTTCCTCACCAGAAGGTGAGATGACCAAGGTCCAGAGGGAAAAGCAGTGAAACCCTGGGAACCAGGCCAGGGCCAGTCAATGTTCTGCCCATGAGTGGCTCACCCCTGACAACAGAACGTCCCCTGACTCCTTCAGGGCGGCCTCCCGGGAGTCCACATACAGCACCGCTTGCTTCATGAGCTCATCATCCAGTTCTCGCCAGTCAGGTCTGCTGGCTCCAACGGCTACAAGATAGCAAAACAGACTCTGAGCCCAGGAAAATCCTAGGACACATTAACAGAAAGAGTTGAGCGGGGGACCAGTTGGGATATTTAGACTAGAATTCCTTCTCATCTCTTAGACCAAGCTCTTCCCAATCAGCAAGATAGAATACTTGTTTTAAAAAAAACAACCTACAATTTTTCTTTATTCTTTTAAAAATTATGTGTGTGTGTGTGTGTGTGTGTGTGTGTGTGTGTGTGTGTGTGCGTGCGCGCGCGCGCGCGCGCGCGCGCGCGCAGGTGCATGTGCATATATGTACAGATGCATCTGAAGGTCAGAGGTTAAGGGTGTTGGTCCCCAAGATTGCTATCTATCTTGTTTTGTGAGACAGAGCCCCTCACTGGGATACAAAGCTTGCTGTCAGGCCAAGCTGGATGGTTAGTGAGCCCTAGAGATTTTTCCATCTCCACCTTCCCAGCACTGGGATTACAAGTGCACACCTCCATGCCTGGGAATTAAACTCAGGCTCTGATGCTCACGGTGAGCCCTTTATGAACTGAGCCATCTCCAAAGCTCTTTTTTTTTTCTATCTCACACCCTATTTCATTCCTGCAAGATTTTAAGTTCACTTAGCAGCACTCATTTTTTTTTAAAGATTTACTTTCATTATTTTAAATTTATGTGTGTGTGTCTGGTGTGGGTATGTGCATGTGAGTGCAGGTGCCTGAGTAGGTCAGAGGTCAGATGCTCTTTAGAACCGGATTTATAGGCAGTTGTGAGCCACCCAACATGGATGGAAGGAGCTGAACTCAGGTCCTCTGCAGGAGCAGTACATACTCCTAACCGCTAAGCCATCTCTCCAGCACAGCACTCACTTCTAAGGCAAATGCTGTCCATGTTGTGTTTTCCATATGTGCTATTTATGGACCTCACGTAGTCTCCAGTGTCTGGTTCCATTCATAGATGCACACATTGACGCTGTGAAGAGTGAAGGGGCCTGCTACCCAAGTCATCAATGAATCTGGGTCAGAGAGAGCCCCAGGCTTTCACTCCAGGGTCTCCTCTTCCCAGGAGTGGCAGCCAATTGCAGAAGCCACAGAACCGAGACCCACTGCTCCTTGTCTTCAGTGGGTTTGCTCCTCAGTCATCCCTGTTCCTCACCTGAAACTGTTTTTTTTCTGTAGTCATGACAAAGAGCCCAGTGTTAAGGCCACAAAGAAGCCATAAGAAAAAGACAGTTGGGAGGGCTGTAACTGTAGCTCCGTGGCACAGCACCTGCCCCGCATGTGTGAGCCCCTAAGGTCAATCCCCAGGACTGGCAGAAGAGGGAGAAGAGAGAAAACCTGGACTTGAGATGGTCTTGACAAAAAGAAGACTGATGATGGGGGAATGACCCTGTGGGTAAAGCACATAGCATGCAAATGTGACCACCTGAACTGAACTCTCCAGAATCTGCAGAAAGCTGAACGCCATAATGCACATCTGGGATCCCAGTGGGAGGCAGAAACAGGAGAATCCCTGGAACCTCTGAGGCCAGTTAGCTTGGAGAACACATAGGTGAACAGCAAGAGATGCTGTCTCAAACAAAGTGGGAGCCAGAACCGATAGCTGAGTTTGCCCTCTGACTTCCATATGTGTGTGTTGGGGGGGGGGGGTCATGCATGTGTGCACACATGTTTTTTAAAAGAAGAAGAACAGGAAGAGGAGGATAAGGAGGATGAAAAGGAGGATCAGGGAGGAGGAAGAAAAAAAACAAACAAACTAAACACCCCACAAAACACAAACGGGCTGTTAGGCCTTGATCATTGACCTTGTCCTTCTGCAGACGGGAGCAATGAATCTATTGTATCATGTCTCCTGTTACAAGGACATAGGATAATGCACAGGCTGTAACCAAATGCCTGCAGAGCCAGGAAGAAATGAACAGGAACAAAGCCAACAGCGGGACTGGAAATATTGTTGTCCTGGTCACACAGAAGAGAGCACATATTTCTCCAGGGGACAGTCATATCCAGCTCTAGCTAATGGCTATTATGTATGAGTGCATATCCTCTGTTACCAGACAGCCCTCTCTCCCCACTGTTTATGAAGAGGAGCAGGAAATCTATTTGCATATGTTATTCTGTCATCCAAACCCAGCCGTCTGCTGGCTGGAGCCAGGGTAGCTAGGTGGTCTTTGAAATATTATAAAATTTTATCCAAATACAAGGCAGCATTTATGTGCCTCCTTAGAGTGCTGTCCATGTCCTCATGTGTTCTCTTTTCTGTCATTATGAGCTCTGATTTCCAGAGAGCAGTGTAACGATGCTTATCTTGAAGGCTGTTGGTGGGGGATTCTATAGAACAAAAGTACTCACTAATGAAGCTTGTAAATAAATCATAAGGTGGTGGGGAAAGCTCCCAGTTTCTGGGGCTGCCCCCTTCCCTGCTTTTTACAGACAGCCCCTGCCTCCAGCAGGATGAATTCCCAAAGGGCTGTGTGAGGCCACTCAGGCAGACGCAAGTGGACCAAACAGCAAATCAGCAGTCTGACCCAGATCAGAACTTGGCCTTGCTTCAGCGGGGCTAGAAAGAGTGAAGGTCTTGGAAGACTTGCTGATGAAATGAATGGGAAGTGGGTCTAGTAGTAAAGAAGTGTAATGTGTGGAGGAGGTTAGAGCCAGGTCTGCCCTTTAGCAGGGCTATAAACAACTAAAATATGTCTTTGGTGTTTCACTGTTATCACTGAGACACACTTTAATAAAGCATATTTGAAAGATCTATGAACACACAAAGAAACTTTGTGCCTAGGTCAAGGGATCACAAAAAGAAGTATCTTGACTCCATATCAGGCCATCCCCTTCTAGAAATATATAGATATTGAAATAGATATGTAGATAGATAGATAGATAGATAGATAGATAGATAGATAGATAGATAGATAGATAGATAGATAGACAATGAATTTAAAGAACTCATTGTAGCTGGCTTTGGGTGTGGTGGAAGGTGCTTAGGAACTAAAAGTAACCTCCAGAAACAGGTCCTCTGTCTATAGCATATGGGGCTGGACCCTGCTACCACAAGAGCCTGGAAGAGGACCTTTGATACTAGATGAGTTTATAGCCCAGTGAACACAGATTTCATCCTTGCAAGACTTTAAGCAGAGGACCAGCCTAACCTTGAATGGATTCTCACTGGTTAAGTTTGAAAACAAAATTAAAACCAAGTCAGTCAGCTGCAGCTTCAGTTCTGCCCTTGGGAACACATTTCACCAAGAACTGTCCCTCTGGATTCCTCAAGTCCTTCCAGACAGTTTTGAGTCCAAGAAGCACACCTCGATCCACCGTTCACCTGCCAACTAAGCCACCTCTTAGCTTCTTCCTGGACCTGTATCATGGCATCATTTCCCTGAAGACTGAGACCTTGGCTTCGCTTCGGCCTAGTCCTCAGATTGCTGTGTTCGCCCCCCCTCAGAGCCCTTGTTTGTAGTCTTCTGTCTGCCTAGAACACCCTCTCTTCAGTCCTTGACACGACTTGCTCTTCCTTATCATTTGGGTCACAGCCCCAAGTCACCTCCCCAGGCAGCTTTTCTGGTAAGTGGATCAAAAGGATCTACCTCAACTTCCCCCTTCTGCGTCCACTGTCAGGCTCTTAGAGCATCCTGTTTGTTGTACAGCCTCCTCACAAGCATAATAAAGCCAAGAGGAAAGCCTTGACCTCGGATGCTCCATTTACTGTGGCATCCCCCCAGCAGCTAGAACAATGGCTGTCCCATGGAGTAGAGCCAGTAAACATTTATGAATGAACACACAATCTCTCGACTTGATTTCCTGCCTGCTCATCTGCCTATGTGTGCAGAGCACTCAGCTTCTGAGATGACACCATGTTCTTGTCATTACATGGTGGAGCACTGCTAGAATCCTCAATCCTTGGCTGGATGGCTGCCTGGCAATCAAAGACTTCTTATTGGAAGATAATGTTGAGTACTGTTCAAGAGCCTAGAGCCAGCTCTGAGGACAGACTACCTCAGTTCAAACCCAACTTTGTCCCCAAGAGTCTCTGACTCTTGAAAGTTACTGAATGTCTCCCTGCCTTGGTTTACCCACCTATAAACTAGGGGTTATAATAATCATTGTCTCTTATCTTAAAAGGTTGCTGTAAGGATTAAGTAACTATATGTAACATATATACATTATACATATATAACATATATATACTATATATACATATGAAATATTTATATATCACAATCAAGAGGGTTGGGGAGGTAGATCAAACAGTAAAGTACTTGCTGTGGAATTATGTACCCAGCATCCATGTAAAAACAGTGGTCATGGTTATTCATATCTGTGACACTGTGGGGTGGGTGGACACTAGACAGAAGTAGGTGGTCCCTGCAGTTCTCTGGCCAGCCAGTCTAGCTAATTAGTGAGTGTTGGATGCTGTGAGAAACATGTCTCAAAAATAAGATGGAGAGTAACTGTAGAAAATCCAACATCAACATGCACACACACATACACTACAAACACTTAAGGGTTCACATGCACATGCACACACACACGACAGACATCTACAATAGGTAAGTATTTTATAGAGCCCATTTCTTTCGATAATCTCTAAGGTTATTTGAAGATCTTCAGAGGCCCCAAGTGTCTTATGCTTAGAATACCCTCTCCGACTCCACCTCCTATTACACATATTTAAAACACCATATGTCACATTAAATCCTTTTTGTGCTGTGGTTATTTTTGGAAATTGTTTATAGTTCTATATGTTAAGAACAAACTATTCAGACCAGAGTGGTGGATCAGGCCTGTCGTGCAAGTCTTGGGAGGCACAGGAGGGAAGATTACAAGTTCAAGGTCACACAGAGGGACTTTGTCTCAAAAAGTCCATCCAAACAAACCAAAATGAAACACTGTTTGTCCATTAGGATTTGAATGTTGTCATATTTAAGAATGAAGTTATAGCTGACCATTTGTGGCAATGTTCCATTCCACAGGACATTAATTAGTGAAATATTCACCAGTTTTACATTTAATTTTCCTTTCACATTTTGAGACACAGTTTTCTGGGCCTATCTCATCTTTCCCTTGTCTTTGGGTTCTGAAACAGGTTCTCTGTAAGTCGCCTAGGCTAGCCTTCAATTCTCCATCTTATCACCTTGCATTTCAGTGTAGGCTCATATACTTCTGATACCCTTAAAAAAGCAGGCAGAGACAGGACTGGGGATAGACACCTATAATCTAAACACTCAGGAGGCCGAGGCAGGAGGATAGCAAGTTTAAAGCGAGACCCTGACACAGAGAAAAACTAAAAGATTTGAGCATTCTGTATGATGGAGGAAGCACTTTTACACACAGAGCCTGGGTCCAGTTTGCAAACACGAAGCCTTTCTACTTACCATTGATGTGAGCCCCCGGCTTCACCCATTCACCAAATAAAAGGGGCTCTGTTGCCATGGTGACTGTGATGATGACATCAGCACCTGCCACAGCCTCCTGCACCGATGAACAGACCCGAACATCTCCTTGCACTGTGCTTGCAAACTTCTCTGCGTTTTCCCTAGTGCGGTTCCATATTCTCACCTTAGAGTGGGTAACAAAAGGGACACACTGATGCATTTCTTTACTGCGTATGTCACACCAACTGACACTGCTCTGAGGTGGTGACAAAGGTGTCTTTAAAGAATGGACATTTGATCAAGAACACAGTATTAATCTGAACCGATATCTGCTCAGACAAATGAAAATGACCTCTCCTTTAAAGAAAGTGGGTACTTTCCAGTCTTGGGCCAGGACACAGCTTTGATGGCTTAATGATTACAAAGAAGGGTCTGGAGCCATGCAGGCTTGGCACCAACTCTTCCTTTATGCTATCCCTGCGATGATTTCCCCTCCCATTCAGCCTCAGTTTCCACATCTGTGAAATAGAAATGATAACTGGGCAAAGACAGTGTGGAACCTAGTCTATGTTTGAAGCCCTGTATTGGAGTGTCAGCAGATACAAGACTCATGAAAAGAGTGCTTTGTCTTGGAAGAGCTTGATCATTGACGTATAAGGAAGGATCAAAAAGCAAACATATTTTAGGTGAATGGTGTAACTGACAAAAAGACCAATTATGAAAGCCACAGAATCCTGGAAGGTGCTGGGCTGGAGGTAGATGGATGCTGGCAGCATCAAGAGCGGTATTCTTGTGAGTTTACTAGCGAGTTTCAATGTCTGGGTCAGAGGCTGCCAGTCTTCAACTAAAAATAAGGCCCAAAGACTCTCTCATCAAGAAATATGGAAAAATTAGCTTTACATCTAAGCTCATCAAGTAGGGTGAATGACTCAACACACCCAGTAATAAGTCACTGCTATGTCATCTTTTCTGATAGAAAACTGTGCAAATATTATGCAAAATTTAGGTAATCTGCAACAGTGATGTTGGAACCATTGACGAAAACGTGGGATACACACTGTGTGCCTCCAACAAGGTTAAAGCTGCTGGAAGACGCAGATGAGAGGAGCCTGGAAACTACCTGTCAGTCTTTGCAAACAGGTAAATGGTTATTTTTCTTCTTCTTCTTCTTTACAATCTATATTTCTCGAGACAGCAGGATTATTTTTATCATAAAAATGCACACTTCAGCCGGGCGGTGGTGGCGCACGCCTTTAATCCCAGCACTCGGGAGGCAGAGCCAGGCGGATCTCTGTGAGTTCGAGGCCAGCCTGGACTACCAAGTGAGTTCCAGGAAAGGCGCAAAGCTACACAGAGAAACCCTGTCTCGAAAAACAAAACAACAAAAAAAAAAATGCACACTTCACATCACTTCCACCACTCTCACAGGCATACATTAAAATGAAAAAAAAAATCATTGAACATTTCCAGCGAAGCGAGGGCCACAGCAGGTGGGAGGTGGCAAGATCTGTCCACAGCAGCAGAAGGAAGCTGTGTCCTCTGCTCACCAGGCCTACGATCTGATTCTGGATCCACGGCCCTAAATTCTTAAAGCCTCTCAGAGACTTTTAAGAGACGCACGGGGAGGGGCTGGAAGTGCAGCTGATACCCAAGGAGTGTCACAGAATCACTTGGGTGGCTGGTGGCATCCCCAGGTGTGTGTCCTGTGAGCCACGAGTCTGAAAAGAGGCATCCCAGTTCTCGTCTCCATGGGGAGGTCATAAAGGTAAAGGTGATCTACACTGGACTCACCCCGCTGTTTGCCTGTGTTGGGTGGTACCCAGAGGCCCCTGGCCCATCTCCTCCCTCCCCAGACCCCACCCTCACTCACCTCCTTGAAGGAGAACTGTTCTGTGAAGATCTCATAATGACTGTACGCCTGGACCCCAGCCCCAAGGATGCACAGCACGTCACTGTTTGGGGGTTTCAAAAACTGAGAGGAAACAGGGTGGCAAAGGTCAGCGGGTAAAAGCAAAAACAGCCGAACATCAGGTGGCCAGGAGGCTTCAGCTACCCTCAAGAGCTGGTGGGCAACATAGAAATGTCACTTTGTTTCCATTTGCCTTCTGCAGAGGAAGAAGCCTTCACTGAGGACCTACTGTGTGCCAGTTCTCAACTCTCATGATCTCATTTGGTCTGAGCAAGGACTGTATGAGATGGACACTCCGTGTGTGTGTGTGTGTGTGTGTGTGTGTGTGTGTGTGTGTGTGTGTTTGTGTGTATACATGTGTGTGTATACATGTGTGCACATGCCTGTGGAGAACAGGTTAACCTTAGGTGTTGTTACTCAGGAGCCATGCACCTTCTAAATAATCTAAACACCTGATTTGTCATGCCAACCCTCCCTTGGGTCATGGCACTTCTGTTATACCTAGGAAAACTAGCATTCTAAGCCCTTGTCCTTCTTAATGAAAAAAACAAAAACAAAAACAAAACAAAACAAATTCCAATCATTCCCACAGAACTCCATTTTCTTCCACTTACTCTTTTGAGATATGGTCTCATTATGTAGTCTAGGCTGTCCTATAACTCATGGTGATCCTCCTGCCTCATCTCCAAATGCTGGGAGTGTAGTTGTGCACCGTTATCCCAGATTAATACCATTTAATTTTTAAAAAGTCACATCACTTTCCACTTTACTTTTTGAGATAGGAAGATAGGGAATTGTGCATTGGAGGTGTTTGGAATTACGTGGCACACAATCAGTAACTTTGTGAATTACTGTGCTTTCTTAATAACTCATATTGGTACTCAGAGTTCCAGCTATGAACAGAGGCAGCAATATGTTCCGCACTCCTCCCCTCTCCAGATCTAATCTGGCTAGCACAGTGCAGCCACTGGTCTTACCTTTGTGGCAATGGCAGACACAGCTGCTGTTCTCTTTGCAGTTATGACGTTTCCATCCATGACCTTGGAGGAAGGAAAGACAGTGAGGAAGGTGCCCTCCTGGGACTGCAACCCAGAGGAGCCGCTCTGGAGGCAGCTCTGGGCAGCTCTGTAGAGCTACAGTGAATATGAGACTTGGGGTCAGCTCAGATGCGATTCCTCCACTTAGGAGCCCTGAGGCTTTGAGCACTAATCTCTATGCATTGGACCCTTCACCTGCAAAAATGAAGAGGATGCCAAAGGGCAGAAGGTACTGAGAGCAAGCGCTAAACACATCTGCATACAGGGAAGCCGCTGCGTACATGAAGCACTCAAGCATCACCCCTCTTGTGTTCTTGCCCTGGGATTCTCAGATCTCCAAGCCGAGGTGAAACTTCAGGGATATTATTGTCACTTCACATATCAGGAGCTTTGGAAAGACACTATTCCCAGAACCCACGGACTTCAGAATGACTCAGGCTGACTCTCTGGCTTGGGGTATGCAGCTCAGTGGTCAAGGTCTTGGGACCCATTCCTGGCACAAGGAGAACCAAGAAAATTGAGTCCCTAGGGGTGGGATCCAGCTATCCTTGGTTTCCAAGGCTCCCCAGGAGGTTCTGATGCCCAAGGAGGGCTGAACATTTTGCCTGGCTAACAATAACTGCCACCCTTTCACTCATCTCAGCCGACTCTCAAAAAGCCAGTGCTATTGTTCTCGTTTTACGGGCACGAAGCCGAATCCGATAGCTACAGAATATTCAGCAGAGCCCCAAAGCCCTGCCATCTAGTGCAAAAGGTGGAGATTCCAGAAGTGGAACTTCATTGTCACAGGCAGCATAGATGCTACCTACTGCCACCAGGTGAGCACAGGTTGGGGAAGAAGAACTAGTCTGGCTAGACTCCTTAAGGATTCGGACATTCAGAGAAGGGGTTGGGGGCCTGAGAGCCTGCTCGAAGCCCTCTAAGAGTTAGAGTATCACACCAGTGTTAGTCAGATGAATCTAGGAGTGATCTTCACTTACCGGCTGTCTGACCTCAAGCCAAGGATCTTTACTAACCTGAGCCTCAGGGACCTCGACAAAAATTAAAGGGGAAGCACCTTGTTCACATTTACCACTTGGCAGGCTGAGGCAGGAAGATCATGTGTGTGAGGCTGGCCTGGGACACAGCAAACAGACAGACAGACAGACAGGGCAGTAGAACATAGTCTAGGACTTGATACACCATTGTCTTAGAATGAAGAGGTTTGAAGGCCAGCCTTGCTTAGTAGGGGGGTAAGTTGAGCACAGCGGCTGTGACTCACTCCTAGTCTCCAAAGTGGGGCAACAATATTATGTACTTCCTGGCTGTAGAACCCTGTGTGTTTCTCTCTCTCTCTCTCTCTCTCTCTCTCTCTCTCTCTCTCTCTCTCTCTCTCTCTCTCTCTCTCTCACACACACACACACACACACACACACACACACACAAATGTGAGCTACTGCTCTTTTCACACCTTCCTAAACCAGATGTCAGAAAGACACCCACAGGCTAGGGGATAGTCCTCTGGGGGAGGGGTTCAATGAGCAAATGTTTCCTCAGCTACTGCTTTAGTTCAAGCTGTGAGTTTGGAGTGTCTGAGTGTGTGACAAGAACACAAACACGAATAACAGGATTGGCATAACAGGACTGTTATTTCCACAGCCACACACTTGCAGCCTCTGTGGGCTCAAAGCAGTCCTAGAAACAGATGCTGCCGTAGGTCACCTTTGCGGTCTCATGTCTGATCACTTGCGATTATATGTTACTTCTCACGGAGAACTAGCTTTTAGGCTTAATTCTGGGCCCAAGGGACACTCTCTACTCCAGGGGGGACTTGCTTTACCCACTCTGCCCCAAGGGAGAAAAGGTTGCTCACCGCCAGCAGGGAGCCATTGTTGGGATCAAAGAGAAGCACTGAAGCCTGGTGGGAGGGGACGGAGGATGTGTTGCTGTGGCCCTCGTAGAAGGTGACTAACTTGGTTGTGAGGGCATCCTCAGCAGCACTGTAGGCTGGCATGACTCCCAGGAAGCTGAAGGAGAGAGAGAGAGAGAGAGAGAGAGAGAGAGAGAGAGAGAGAGAGAGAGAGAGAGAGAGAGAGAGATTCAACTCCTTCCAGTCAATGCTAAGTGATCTATAAAGTCTCATTTATCTGCCTTCCTCCATCACTGCTGGCACGCTGCTCCCTGTGCCTTCATTCCTCTGCCCTTCTGCCCTTCTCTGGGGCGGGACTTCCAGCCTGGCTCTGGACCAGAAAGCCATCACAGCCCTGCCACTTCTCAGCTGTGTAAGCTTCAGTAAATCACTTTACCTCTCTGAGTCCCAGTTTTCAGCTAGCAGAGTGACTACCTCAGAACCTCCTCCCCTGCTAAGTAAGGCCGGCGGGCGGGCGAGTTGAATCCCAGCAGGTGGCACCTGTAAAGCGACCTCTCGGCACAAGGCCGGAGGGTAGTGCTCCTTAAACAGCAGCTGTCATTAGCAGAGATCAAGCAAGACCTCTCCTCTCTTCTCCCACCTCTTCCCTTGGGTTCCCCCTCGTCTTTCTCTCGAAACCCTTTCTCCCATCCCCTTCTGGTCTCTTCTTCACTCACCCTCGGTGCTTGGCTACCGGTACCACGGTGCGCACCGGCTGCATGACCCCTCCATCGGGACCTCTGGAGAAGTTGGCCAGAGCGGTCTCCAAGGGCGGGATGAGGAGGCTGGAGCTGCGAAGGTGGTCCTGCACCTCGGCTGCGCTCAGGAACGCTGGAGCCCGCCTCATCTCGCCACCTGCCTTCAAACCCGGGCTGGAGACTCACTCCACTTTCCCTGATCCCAGCCCTAAATGAGCGCAGGGCCAGCGCAGCAGCGCTGGGCAGCCTTCCCGGGGCGGAGCATCGTCCGCCCCGCCCCTCGGGCCCGGCCCCGCCCCCGCCGCCCACCCCAACTCCTAGGGTTCCCGGACACTTCTCCCCAGATTGGAATCAAGGCAGCAGGCTGCAGTGATAATTCTTGAATCTACTATTCCCATTCCCGTAATTAGCCATCGCCACATCCCTGGGCACGCTGTGTGTGTGGAGACTTTGGGGTTCCACCTTTGTCCCTCCACACCAGCTCCACTGGGGCTGGTATTGTGAGAAAGACAGGAGAGATGACAGGGCGCTCTTAGTGCTTGCTCCGGTGAAAAGGGGCTTGGAGGGTTATGTCATACTTTTTTTTTTTTTTTTTTTTTTTTTTTTTGGTTTTTCGAGACAGGGTTTCTCTGTGTAGCTTTGCGCCTTTCCTGGAACTCGCTTTGGAGACCAGGCTGGCCTCGAACTCACAAAGATCCGCCTGGCTCTGCCTCCCGAGTGCTGGGATTAAAGGCGTGCGCCACCACCGCCCGGCTCATACTTTTAACTCCTTCTGGAGTTTCTTCTATTCCCAGTCTCTCTCCCACAGCCACACCTAGACATTAGCCGGTGTTTTAAGCACACAGTTGACTCAGGTTAAACAAAACAACCTTCACCTTAAAGTCTCAGGCAAGAGTAACCCGGTCACATAAAGAGCCAAATGGGGTTTGTTTTTTTTTTTTTAAGTTCATCTTGTATTTGAAGAACAGACAACATGCATAAAATGGAAGGAAATCAGCCACGATCTTGACAGCTAACCCTCCACTGTTGATGGAGTACAGATGCCTAACCCTCAACCAGTGGCGGAGGAAGTGCTTTCGGGAACTCAAAGAAAAGGGACTATTCTAACCCAGGGTGGTAAGGTGTCAGGAAGGAGCAAAGAAGCCAGAGTTCTAAAAAATAATAGCAGCAACAACAGCTTGTCTCATTTGACTACACCAAAAGCAGCTGAGGCCTGGAGGTGCTGTTGGTAGCCTTATTATTTTAGGTTCTGGGGTCTGTCCAAGGTCGTCCACAGAGTCAGCAGCAGTTAGGCTTCATTTGGGGTGTGTACGTGTGTGTGTGTGTGTGTGTGTGTGTGTATGTGTGTGTGTGTGTGTGTGTGTGTGACATGTGTGCAGGTTTCCAAGGAGGACAAAAGAGGGCATCTGATCTCCTGGAAGTGGAGGTTACAGGCCGCTGTAAGCCGCCACCATACATGGGTGCTATGGACCGAACTGGGTCCTCTGGAAGAGCAGTAAGAGCTCTTAACAGCAGAGTCCTCCCTCCTGCCCCTTGTTTGGTTTTGAAATAGTATCTCGCCTAGGCCAGACAGGCTTCAAAATCCCTACATAGCCAACGCTGGCCTTGAACTCCCCATGCTCCTGCCTCCACTTCCCAGGTGCTAGGACAGCAGGTGTGTACCACCAGAGCCAGCTTTAATTTTTGTTATTATTATTAATATAATACAACTATTATTGAGCATAGTAATGACTTGAGAGAAAGGCTATTAATTAACTCACTAGGAATGCAGGGGAAGCTGCTGTGTCTCTCCCCTGCCCTCTCCCGAAGCCTGGGGAAATTCTCTGCTGACCACCTACAGATCTAGGAAGGAGTGGGTCGCTTGCCCTTCCCTAGACTGCTGCCAATGCGCTAAAAGTGACAGCAGGGCAGAGTGGTCCCCAGGCTGCAGCAATACTGATTCAACAAAATTTATTGGACACACTCAGGAAATAACAGTCAGCACTCAAGAGAAATATTAAAATAATGAAAATTTTAAAAAATTAACCGAAGGAGAACAACACTAGACAAAACATCAAAAAATTCAATAGAAATCAGAATAACGGAGTTTCTCTTTTGCTTTGGACTCTAGGACAGCTTCTTAAACATTTGCTTTTGCTTCAAAAAGATTGAAAATATTGTATTTATGTGGGCTTCTGAGTTCTGCCGTCGCCTCAACCGTCTTGCTGGCTTTATTTACTAGGAGTCTCTGGATGCGGACGAGCGAGCGCGCCAGCCGAACCCGCGGAGTGGGGGGGGGTGGGGGGGAGGCTCCAGGGCGCATGCGCGGGCGACATCCAGACGGCTCCTTCCGGCGCGCGTCCCCGTGCCCATTGCGCGCCCCCGTCGGTCCCGACTGGTCCGCGCCGCCAGGCGGTTGGCTAGAGCGTTGAGAGGAGGAGCGGTGCCCGGGCGACGCGCGTCCCCTCGTGGCCGTGGAGGCGGCTGTTGTGGGGTCTGAGAGGTGTGTGTCGTGGACCTGTTCTGCGGCTGCCCTTCGACGCCCCAGGAGTCCAGCGTGGCTCCCTCCGCACACACCCATAGGGACGGGAACCAATTTCCGTGTGTATGTTTGCTGCCAGCCTAAAAGAGAGGAGTAACTGTCTAAATTAGAGTTAGAGTCTGGGCTGTGTATCCTGTGCACACAAGGCACATCCATCTCCAAGGAGATGGAGATGGGGCACTTCTGAAGAAGTCCGTTGTGCTGGGTTTTGAAACAGAGCCTGGGGCTGACACGGGGTTTGTTTCAGGTCTTGACTGTCGTTCACTAAGGAGACTGAGGGGCGAGATGTCCCGGTGACTTCCCTAGCAAGTGGCGACAGGAGCAACTGTGCGTAAGTAATCCACGTATTCTGGAGGCTGAGGCAGGAGAATAGCAAGTTTGAGGGCAAACAGGGCTACATAGCAAGATCCTGTCTCCAAAAGCAAACAGAAGAAAAGGGCCTTTAGACATTCTTGGGAAAAGTTTTATGATAGGCACGTGTGCAATGTGTGTAGTACGCTTTCCCCTTTTAACCTCCTGATTCTTACCAGTTTGGCTGGTTTGTTTATGACTCCCCCTCCCCTCCCCTCTCCTCCCCTCCCCTTCTCTCCCCTGCCGTCCCATTATCATTATTATTATTGTTGTTGTTGTTATTATTATTATTATTATTATTCAGGGTCTTGTTGACCTTTAGACCTGCCTGGCCTTGAACTCACTATGTAGCCAAAGCAGTCCTCTAAAGTCCTCTTGCCTCAGCCTACTTAGTCTGTGATTAACATCATGCACCATCCCACATAGCATGACTCCATTTTGACATGGACAATTTTCACAGTTTAGGGGCTAGAGGGAAGAAGGGTTTGGGACCCAGGATCAGTTTTAGTCTTAACCTGACTTGGGTTAAGTCAGTTGACTGCTGTATCTCATCTATAATTAGAAATAATTCTTTATCAATCTCATGGTTCTGTTTATTTAAAATATTACAGTAGCACAACATAAGCTTAAGCATATTTTTGAGTGTCCTTTACTACACTCATAATGTCTTCACTGATTCCAGAATGTTTCATCACTCCTGCACTAACTAAGCAGTCGATATCCATTGCCTACTCCCTGCTGCCCCTGGCAACTGCTGTTCTTTTTTCTGTCTGAGTTTGTGGAGTCTGGACATTTCATATGAATGGAATCATATGTTTTGCTTAGCATACTGTTTTCAAAGTTCCCACCCGTTGTAACAGGGGCCATGCATCATTCCTCACCTTATATGGGCAAATGAGACTCCATTGTGGAGAATCACTACATTGTATGTATTTGTTCATCAGTTAAATGGACTTTGGGGTTATGCTGACATCGTGAACATTTGTATATATGTCTTATTTTACATTTATTTACTTAGTGTGTATGCACATGTGTGGAGGCCAGAGGACAACTTGTGGGAGTAAGTTCTCTCCTTCTGCCATGGGGGTCCCCAGGCTCAAACTCAGATCATCAACCTTGACAGCAAGCACCCTCACCTACTAAGCCATCTCACTGGTCCTGCACATTTTTTTTTGGCAGGAGGTGGCGGGGAGGGACAGGGTATGGGCATACTTATGCTTTCTAGGAGTGAAATTGGAGAGTCATGTGAAAATTGGACATTTGGCTTTTTGAGAAGCAAGCTACCCATCTGTTTTCCAATATGGGCTGCCCCATTCCACACCAGTGGGTAAAGGTTCCAGTTTTCTACCTTCTTGGCACACATTGTTTTCTATTTTGTTTTTGATATAGAATGTATAGTGTGTGGCATGTGAAGCAGGAACCCATTGAGCTTGTAATTTTCATTTTTCTGTGAGTAATAATGTGTGGATCTTTTAGTACATTGGCTGTCTGTAGGGTTTCTTTGTAGAAATGTCTGTAGGACTCGTTGCCCATTATTTGGTTGGGTTGCATGTTGTGGTAGGGTTACTCTGTAAGTTCAGGATGTGATTTGCCAGTGCCTCCTTCCACTCTTTGTCCCAGAGTGCATTGTTGTTAATGATGATTCGAGACTTCTGTTGATCCCAAGTGTTTGCTTTTGCCTCCACGTCATGTCACTGATCATTTTGTGTATGGCACAAGATTCACACCCAGTTTCACTCCTTTGCCCTGGGATCATTAGTTGAGCACATTTGTTGAAACTTGTGTCTTTTTCCTGGTGAGTGAGCAAGCATGATGTCCATGGTGCAAGGAACGTTTCCCTACTCTGCCTGTGCTTTTCTCAGTTTTGTTCTGTTACAATGACTGACATTCTGCAGATACGTTAATAGTATGAAGTGTGGGACTTCCAACTTGATTCCTTCCAAAAATGGTTTGTCTATGCAGTATTTCTTAGGATTTCATATGAATTTTAGGACCAGCCTGTTCAAGGCAGTTGAGTTTTGAGCTGAAGATCAACTTGAGAGGCGTTTCTGTCATACAGTGGGTCTTCGAATACAGGGCACTCTTCTGTTTCTTTAGGCCTTAGCTTTTTTCTTCTCTTTCCTTCTTTCCTTTTTTTAAAGCCATATTTTAGATTTTTTGTGTACAAGTCCTATACTTCCTTAATTTATTTTTACTGTTTTACTTTCTGATGCTCTGGTAAATAGAATTGGGTTTTAAAGATTGTTCATTACTAGTGTATAGAAACAAGGATTTTTGTATGGTGATCTTGTTTCTTTCGACTTGGCTGAGCTTATTAACTTGATCTAGTACTTTCTTTTGTGGGTTCATTGGGGCTTTTCTGTATGGAATAGTGA